CCCCCCCTCTTGCCCCCCCCCCCTTTGAATGGAATGGTACTTTATCATAGGGTTGCCCCCTCCTACCTGCTATCAACATTCTGTTATATACTGCTGAGCAGTTGGTCAGTACAATATACTCGTTATACACCTGAATAGGTGATTTGCATGATGGCGTCATTTGACTACAACTACCAGAATCCTTCACTTTTCTGTTTCTTATGTTTATTAGCACAATTGTTATTTAAACCCCAGTGGGGTTTAAATAGCAATAAAAAAATGAAACATTTCAATTTTGAGACGGTGCTGAGAGCCTGGTCCCCCAAAACATAACAAAATGATTATTTGGCAAAATTTCCAAGCATGATGATCACAATGATATTAACATGTAATGATGTTCCTTATTCAAAATAAATACACTTTTCTTTCCACAGTCAATGCAAAATAGTCAAACTTATTCCTATTTTCCAGGCAAGTAATCTGTTTATTTCTAAGTGTAAGACTTAGTTAATTTTCATTTTCTGAATTTTTTACTTCATTTTTAACAAACCCTGATGTCCTGTTTGGTGTTATTTTGGATTAGATTGACTATTATATGGCAAATGTCTTAAGAATGGTTTGCGTAAGGTTCTACCTGATTTAGAGCGGTTTTCACTTGAGTGTCAAAAGGTAATAATTTATTACTGGTTTTGCATCAACTACCACTTTTCACTTTTTATCACATGTAATTCCTTCAAGTTTTGATTGGTCCACTAGAGTGATTATTTTGGTTTTGGTTTTCGACACTCAATTGAAAACCGCTCTAAAAAGCGTATCTTTCATCGGTAGAAGTTTTGCTTCTTTTTGTGGTTCTTGGAAAGGTAGGGGCAAGATCAGAAAATGCCAACCCCTGGGTTAAGCCATGGACGACGCATTACAGACGTGATTCATGGGGAACTTGGCATTCATTTCGTATTGATATCATGTTCTTTGCTCTAAACTCCTCCAGTGTTGAACTCCAGTTTAATAAACAGTCAATCTCATTATCTTCTATTACAGGAGGTGGAGTGACCTCATGGTTAGTGCGCTCGCCTCCAGATGGAGCGGTTTGGGTTTGAGCACTGCCTAGGGACACTGTGTTGTGTTCTTGGGCAAGACACGTTACACTCAGAGTGCCTCTCTCCACCCAGGTGTATAAATGAGTACCAGCGAATTTAATGTCAGGGGTAACCCTGTGATGGACTTGCATTCCATCCAGGGGGAAGTAGGAATACTCCTAGTCACTTTATGCTACCGAAACCGGGATAAGCTCCGGCCTGATGGGCCACTTGGCTCGTATGTGGATTTTATCTTACCTAACCATGATCTTCTGTTCCTACAGTACTCCAATGTATATATTCCTACACCCGAAGTTAATCAGTTGACGCACGACAAGAAACTACAAGAGGAATGCCTTAACTTTGTTGGAAAAAAAGGTTGGTTGGAACATTCTTCGCCCAAAACGTAAAGCCTTAACTACAGGAGATCTTATTGTGCTATGAGAGGTTTGCGTTAGTTGGGAATTCTATTTCTCAAACTCATTAATAATTCATCAAGTTTAAACAAAAGAAATCATGATGTCGTTTGGACATCTGATTATAATTAGCGTAGATTTTTCGATTTTATTTCTCAGTTTTCTTCTTAGGTTTAGGTTCGATTGAGAAAATATATCAAACACTCAAGACCGACTTTGACCACATTTCCAGACACCTCGGAGTTCGTCAGAAATACTCCTCTACGCGTCATATTTTCAACTCTCTTCTCGGTGTTTGGAAATGTGGTCAAACACACACAGTCGTTCATGTCTGAAATTGTCTCCGGTTTTACTTCGTAAAGCTGTCGAATAACACTCGAATTCGTAGCGAGTCAGAGTGTCTTTCCAGTCTTCTATTAAAATCGTTCAGGAAGATGGATTAAGGTTACTAGGTTTACAAGGTTTGAGACTTTATTGCAGCTCATTTTTGTGAACAGTGAATGCCAATCCTGTCGATGCACATCTAGATAAAACCTCAGATTGACTTTGAACTGAGTTGCTAGAGGAATGATTTATATGTAGTTATAAACATTCATCTTTAGTTATTAAAGCAGTTTGTTCAATAAAGATTTCACAAGTGACATTGAACGTTGTAAACTCCAGGTAGAACCTCGCCTTCATTTCGAGACGTGTTTATGCTGTACTGCGGGCTCAGCCCAGGGGCGACCGTGAGAGACTTGTGTACGAGATACAATCCTGGCAGTCTTCGCGTGGATGAGAGGTAGTGAAATAATGAAAGATTTCTACTGAAGAATAATCCATATCATATAAAATGCATGAAAACTTTGGAACTTTTGAATCTCCTAAGATGAGAAGTGTTAAAGTTGTAGTCGCCGTTTAAGTTACAAATATTTGAAATTTTCATGAAGACAAACCATTCTTTCTAGCCAAATTTCCATGTTTTTGAGAGATATATAGCACAGGTTTTCGGTTGTGTCCAAAGTACAGCTTTAAATCGGAACTGCGTAGGTTTTGCTGCACTGCGTTCTGTGATTGGTTTAGAAAAACTCGCGTCACTTGTTTAATAACCAATCAGATGCAAAAGCGACACCAATCACGAGTTGGTCACGTGCTTTTTCCCGCGCTTGGCGCCGGTCACGTATTTTTGCTTGGTGTCTTCGTTGATTCATTATGACTGTTGTTAATGTTTTCAATCCATAACTACGCAATGAACACGTTCTTCACGAGTTATTAATCTGTTGAACTCAAACACTGACAAATTTACTAAATAGTCGTTTTTCTTACCTCTTCTAGGCGATTAATCCAGTTTGGCATGGTAACAGGAATTATTCGTCGCCTTCATAAATACCCAGTACAGCTAACAACACCAAAGAGTGAGCCAGTACCCAGAGGTCACCACAAGTTGAGAGGAAGGCATCGAGACTCGGACACGAATAGAGTCAAACTCGACGACAAGTAAGTTAAACAATCTTTCCCTTGTTACAGTGTAATACAGTAGAAGAAAAATGTTTTTTTTTTCATCACTAACTTGAAATAGGCCTTTTGCAGCTAGGCCATGTACTTACATGAATCACACATAACTCAAATATGTTTTGATCCAGATCCCACATTGCGTGGTCGTGAACATACAAATGACAAGTTCAAACGCCCGTAGAAATTTTACTAATAGTTTTACTTGTACATAGTTCTTATTATTTTGTTAATATCCTTCGTGTTTGTAAAATTTTAAATTTTGTGTAAAGTAAGTCCACATCAGCCCTTCGGCTGCCAACCCCCTTTCAACCTACTTATCAAATAAAGTTTACCTTAACGCAGGGATTTTATCAATCGAGATAATTTTTTCGCTGAGGTAATTGGGCCGGAAACTAGTAGATTTTATTAAAGAAAAAAAATTGGGGAAGGTTAGTGGCACTTTAAAGAATGCTAAAAATGGAAAAAGCATGTCGAAAATATCAAAATGGCCAAGTTTGAGGCCCGTTTGAATTGTCAAAAAATTTGCATGGGAAAAGTTGTGGGAGAGCAAGACCTTAAATGGAGGCGAGCTACCATTAAATCTCACAGGCTTTGTATACATCTGTAAGTCAATTACAAACCTGAAATTGCTTCTTTTGGCTTATTCCTAAACAGATGGTTGGATGGAAATCATAATTATGACGAAATTTGCTGTAAAACAGGTATTGTTAGTTTGTATTGTTCCCTGTTTAACCATTAGATATCTTTTTCAAAATATTTTAACCGGTTTATAGATGTTTCCAGTCGGTACTGCGCAGTTTCAGTTTTTTCACTTTTTTATTATCGCACACTATTTACAGAAACACAACTTAACGTAAGATGGTTTACAATGATATAGGAAAATAAATACAGATAGGAATTAACTAGAAGTAACAATATTTAATTGTGTACAGTGACCAAAGTAGCCAATGAGCTTTCGGGTTGGTCAAGTGCTGTCATGTAGATATAACTTGGCGTTGGCCGCATGCTAAGTTAATTTAAATTAATATTTACATTAAAGACGATATTATTATCATAAATGAAGAAAGACATACATAAATGCAAGCTAAAATAAAGGAAAAACAATGTCCTGAATATTGTACAGTAGTATCTTACACAGCTAACAGTTAAACTATGGTCAGTTTTGAGTGATCAATAAGAATCTTTTATACCGCTTTTTGAAGAGCATGTATGGAAAACGTTTAAGTTCTGGTGGGACAGATTCCCAGATTTTTATTGCGGAGAATTTAAATGTAGATACGCCATAATTAGTGCGTCCTGATGGTTCGTGCGCACTCTCGAGAGTTTGTTTACGTTTTTGTTTTGATTCATGTAGGACGCCACAGAATGTAACATTTCGCAGCTACTTACATGAAGAGAATTCAAAGTTTCATGTCAACCGCCATCATGAATACCAAACTTTATGCTTCATTCTCTGTGATATCACTTGCTAATTTAAAAATCTTCGTAGTTGTAAAAGTCAAAGAAACTTTTGGAAATGAAGTAAAAATGCCGCAAAGATAAGGTAAGTGGTTCGTAACGAAAAACATCCGCCAACATTGGGTGGCTAAGACTACGCAGTACGGACTGGAAATCACCTTTAATGGAGTGATTTTCTGATGGAGGGTTGTACAACCAAAACTTTGTTAATCACATATCAGCCAATCAAAACAAACGGCAGGGACAAAATGAACCAAATAGTAATCAAAGCAAAAACACACAACTCGTGATAAGGGCGGGAAAACGAACAACCGTTGCCAAGCGCGGAAAAACATGCAACCGTTAAAGAGCGTAGGAAAGCGCGCGAAAGCCGAACTGCGATCACCGTTTTTTTCTACTTCTGATTGGTTTAGAAAACTGCATGTTTACTCAAATTTGTTAGCGCACGTGACGCAAATTTGAAAACCAATCAAAAGCTGAGCAATCCCAAAATTCATGCAGAAATACTATTTCCTTCGACCAGTTTCAGTTATAAATTGCCAATTCTCGCTTACTCTCAACTCATTGCTGATGATCGTCGATGATATTTAAAGATTTCAGTGTCCTTGTTGTGTTATTTAGTGAGCTTTAGCAAACCACGACGACGACGGCAACGAGAACGCCACCAAACAAAAGGTTTAATCTGCAGAACAATAGCCGTACACGTGCGTTATAAATCTTTGTAGATTTCTTTGCCGTCCTCTGCAAGACAACAACGTGAAATGACCAAGTCCTGGGTGCTCTGAGGAACGTGAATGACGACGGCTAATATTTTTCGTACTTCCATTTGGAATTTAACGCTGTCATTGCATATTCAGCCCGAGCACGTTTTTAGAGCCATTGGCCGACTGAACAGATCAAGACAATCGCGAATTTTGCTGGTAAAATATAAATTCCTCTCTGAGTTCGCGTCGCACTCGACGTCGCCATCGTCGTTTCGCGCTAACTGTTTCTGCGCATCCTTACTACGCAAGCAAATTCACATACTACGTCACGCATCGCGCGCGCGCTATAGGGCAGATTGGCACTGCTAGTAGCTTTACCTGGATTTAACGATCTTGGACGTTCGGTGACCCCTATTTTTCTTTTGATGGATCATTTTCTCTACTGATTTTCTACGTGTGGCGAAAAAATGAAGAAAATATATTCATTAGAAGTTTGATTTTTTTTGCAAAATGCACCATCGAACTTCGTTCTTTTTAGCTCTTCGTTTATCTGTGCGGCGGTTTCAAATACCTCTTGAAGGTTAAGTTTTGTGAAAACGTTGGCAACATTTGGAATTATTTTCGCAACAGACCCACTTCTACAAAATATGACTAAGATCGTTTGCCTCCGATGACTCACCTTCGATATTTTTAACTATAAACCCATGTAGACCATGCTGAATTACGTGCGCCAATTTTTCAAAAGCA